ATTAGATAGTCTTTTACATAAATAAATTAATGTTAATTTCTATGTTTTAAAATGTTGTTCTTCATTATTAGTCACTCAACTACCAAATGATTTCGACAAACTAGACATTGATCGTCCACGTTCAACATCCTCTTCATTATCATCATTTGATAGAGTAAGTTGTATTAATTTTTTTGAATACAGAAAGAGAATAAGTAGTAATAAATGATATAGAACTTACATTGGATCATGACTGTCCAAGATCTCTTTCATTTAGAAATTGTATCTTACTCTTTTTTTCTCTATAATGAATGTAATAAAAACTTCAAAGAAATGATCCATAGGATTCGATCTGCACTAAGAAGGATCTGACATATATGACATTGATCACCACCCAGTGATTAATCAATTGTAATTTGTAGTTTGAACAGTGTCTCGTAAAGTTTCAAGCTATGAAGTTATTCTATCTTGTAGATTTCACTATGGGATCAATTTTATTTCCAATAAATGTGATTACTATACATCTACATTTAACTCCGTAGTTCCACTTCATAAACAAACTATATTGTCATTGTCTATTAGTAACCAAGTGCATTTTGTACTAAACATTTCATGTTACAAATACATAAATAAATGTAGCTGGTAATTGACATAATGATAATTTTCAGTTAATAGTTGAGTTCGTGAGTCAGTGAAAGCTAGACCACCATGGAAAACCTGGAAGCATTGGATGGCCGTTTCATCCTAGTATGGAACTCCTTAACAGTGCGCATTCACGATCCCGCTCGCGAGATTCAAATCCAGGACCTTTGCTTTTTCTCACGAGCTCTTAACCTCTAGATCACTGAACCGGCATCCAGTGGTGTTAATATCTAACTTCAACTAATCCACGAAATTACACCACCGTCCACCAATGTCTTCAGTGAGTTACTATCTCACAACAGACTTGGTTGAACTTCACTAATCACGGATTCTCACTAGAACTTCTGGAAATTTTCTGTTAAATATTTATTTATTTATTTATTTTAACACATAGATATTGGCACAAGGAGGCACCAAACAACATATGCGCCACACAAATCTCATTTGATTTGAGTGAGGGCACTGATACTGCCCGGGTGCCCAAACCGAAGCAGGTGGTTTTCTTAGGGGGCCACTCTCCGAGCCTTCGACCTGAAGGTCTGACCCACAAGGCAGTGGAGCATCGTAAGGAGATGCAGTCCAATGGTAGCCGGTGACCAACATTTGCTTCATACACCATTTGTTCCCGCAGGATACTAGAGCCCATGTGCACCATTGGTTTGGAATCCGGTTAAAGTGCCGAACATTCGCTTTTCGTCCTCTAAATTTCGTAAACTACACCCCCGCCACGAGAAGGCAATGAGTAGGACTTCTCTGGCATAGGCTATATACGCGTGGCCATGTGAGAGCATTTCGAGCGGGAGAACGGACTCTTCCCACTCTCAGCCGTACCAGGGCATTTGGAGGCTTCTGTTAAATAAAACCAGTACTTTCTCTGTATCACCTTTTCTCTTGCACTCTCTCAGAAAAATACTAATTATGAATCTATGGAGTCGGAAGCCCAAATTAAACGTCTTGAAATGGAACGTGATAATTTAATTAATTTATTAGAATTAATTAAAAAACAACATCGTGAAGAATTACTAATTATGGAGCAAACTTTAAAGTAAGTTTAGCGCGTAGAACAAGAATCATGATGGAAATTTTATTTGCTCTTTTTTATGTCGTTAATTCATTCAATTTTGTTGCTTCACATCATGAAATGACGATTGAAGACCTAAGGGTACAGGACAGATGTCTACTTCTAATATGAGGTCCATCAGAAGTAAACACACACGAAATATTCAGGGGTCAAACCCAGAACTTTCACTCATCCTCATCATCATCATTAAAGCCTATTTCAAGTAGAAGTAGGTGATGAAAAACATCTAACTTTGCTACAAATCTCTTCTCCATTAAATTTAAGATTGATTTATTTCAAACATCAGTACTGATTAAATTATACGGATTCCAATCTACTTCTTGTTCAGATTATTGGCGATTTTATTCTCAATAGCAGATCGTCCTTAGCCACTGACTTATGGAGAACAACTTATTCAAACATTTAGATAATCTTTTTACAACTATGTTAATATTGTGAGACTTCCTCCGATTTTTAATCTATTGTAACTAATATATTATGCTTTTAATCACCAACATATCGCGACGTTAGTGATTGTATAATTTAGGGGAGAAAATAATACCATAGTGACTAATGTACCTTCATCTTTGTCTGCTCTTTGAGAAAACAATAGATGATTACATTGAAGTCCATAAATTTGATTGATATGGGGTTTGAATCCTATAGGGAACATCGGCTTAAGATTCTAGGTAAACCTTACTGACGAATATCTACTAGCACAAAAACTAGGTCCTACTATCTTTAAAATCTTTTTACAATATCAGAAGGGTTTTTGTGGATATGATAGTAATTTCAATGGTTGAGATTATAAGTCAACTGAAGCTAGACCACCATGGAAAACCTGGAAACACTGGACAATCGTTTCGTCCTAGTATGGGACTCCTCATCAGTGCACGTCCACGATCCCACCTTGTGAGATTCGAACTCAGGACCTGTTAGTCTCGCGCGCGAGCGCTTAACCTCTTTTTTTTAACAATGAATAAATCGATTACTGTTGCTGTGATATACTACTGACAATATTAATAATATGATTTTGCTATTGTCCATCTCAATTATTTTCTTTTTTTGTAGAACTAAATTAGATTTGATTAAGGAAAGTGCAGAACGTAAAGAGAATCGGTAAATCAGTTTTCATTTTACATTATTTCTTTGCTGATCAATGTACTATCTTCTTTTTCTTTTTACGTTTTATTGCTTAAAACCCTAGAAGTGATTGCATGGAGAACCAATAAGTAAATGCTTCCAGATTTCCAAACACAACTGATAAGTCAACTCAGTTAGTTATCTAATGATTATTGGTTATACTTCAATATTTGTTTAGTTATTTTCAAAGAATACCATAGCGAATAACCGAGACTAAATGTGTTACCCATTGTCTAGCAATGAGATTTCGATCAATAAACGTTTCGTTGATCATCCAGATAATTTCATTAATTTGTAAAGATGTGCTGTATGAGTTGTTTACTCTCAAGCTGAAATTATCGTTCACTCTACCTACCTTGATGCTTTATGTTGACCAAACTAGCAGTAAGTTGAAAGAAAGTTAGAATCTGCCAAACTAATAGCATAAGTCCAAAAAAGTCATTAACTCTTGATCTAAGCTATATGAATAGGCACAAACTACTTGGTTGATGCCTCCACAATCAGCACGATCAATGGGACATACTTCAAACGAAGTTGTAGTAGTTCAGATATAATAATTTTTTATCTTCCTTCTTGTTAGGTCCCGATAAACATAATGAATGGTAACTTTGGGATCCATTTATGGACCAATACTAAACGTATATTTTTATCGTATAATTGTTATGTAACTAAACTGTTCATATTCATGTCCATCTTATTATGAGCTTTATTTTGACCTATGAACTATTATTCTACGATTTACCATTCTTGAATTATGTCCTGACTATTAATTACTACCTCCTTCACCCACAGCCACTTTTGGCCAAATATTGTACAAACGTTGTTCCATATTTTATGGTACGTTGTGGTCTGTTTGATTGGTATATAAACTCAGTATGTTTGAAATATAAGGATTCATATTGCATAGACTGAGATTGGTGTTCTGGACTTAACTGACTGTGCTAGGCGGAAAGCAGGACCAATCAGGACTCTAGACTGCTCGCGCGTGTTTTACGCGTGCTTGGTCCGATCGACAATTCACTGCTCTCCGATTGGCGGTCACAAGATCTAACACTTCTGATCAGAATTTTCAATATGATTTCATACTTTTTGTCCTCTTATTTCATTTCATTTTCAAATCATAGTCTCTATCAATTCGGTCGTGTTTATTTAAGTATCAATTCTGAGATCTAAGTACATCCAGCTGACGAGTACCGAATAGGACGAAACGTGTGTCCTGAATTCCATTGTTAGCCATCATCCATCTTTGCTTATCATATTTTTTTCCTCATTCTCCTTTCTAAACTAATAATCTAACTAATTTATTAATTACATATTAATGTAGTTAGTTTTAAGCTGAATTCTTTGTATATGCACGTAGTGGGTTGTATTGTTATCTGTATCAATGTACATGTAAGAAAGTTTAAATCTGTAATCTACTGATTGAAAGTTGAATGCTAAATCAACTATTCCATTACTATTACATATAATCAATCAAAACAGATACCTCTTACCTTATTTAAATTTACTTCCCGTTTGGGAGTAATTAAAAACCTGGATAACCTATATAAATCACAATGATGAGATTCTCTATTAGTTAATCTATTATATAAAATTTATGACTAAGTATTAAAATAATGAGGTTTTAACTGAGATTATCAATCGAACGACATTGGACCACCATTAAAAACCTGGAAGCAATGGACGACCATTTCATTCTATTGTGGGGCTCCTCAGCAGTGCTCATTTACGATTTCGCCCGCTTGATTCGGACCCAGGGCCTTCAGTCTTGCGCGCGAACGCTTAACCTACCAGATTACTGAGGCGGCCGGTATCCAACGGTGTTGATATCTAACCTCAACCAATCCACGAAATTGCGCGACCATCTTTCATTGTACTGGGGTACATACCTGTCTCTACCTGACATGCATTAGCTCCACTGGTCACGGCTTCTCACTAAAACTCCGAGAATTCCTTCACTTAGCTAGTCACTAGTGAGTACATGGTAATTATCAGTATAGGGTTGTGGAGATTATTATGTTATTGATTGAGATCGTAAACTGATTGATGTTAGACCACCATTGAAAAGCTGGTAGCACTGGATGGCTGTTTCGTCCTATTATGGGACTCCTCATCAGTGAACGTCCACGATCTCGCTCGTGGGATAAATCGATTTTCTATTTGATTTTCACCTTTGATTTCTAAAAAATTATCGTCAAGTGAGTTTTATTTTCTTTTTTTAAATTTAGTCTTAGAGAAGAAATCAATTACCTTGAAATACAAAATCGTGAACGATTAGTTCAAATTGAAGAGAAACGTGATCATTTATTAACAGATCTAACAAATAAATTGAATGAAGCACATCAAACACATCAACGTGAATTGAATGAATTAAAACAGTCACATAAGTAAAAAAATATTTTCCATTTCCTTCTATATCTCAATTATTATAGGATGTAATGGTGATTGACATTGTTAAGTAAATAACAAAGTAGTTTTTGAAGTGCTTCCTCTCTTTTAGTAGTCTCCAAATGCATTGGTGCAGTTGAGAGTAAGAAGAGTCAGCTCTCCATTCCGAAATGCTCTTACATAGCCACGTGCATGCAACCACTGTCAGGGAAGTCCTACTCACAGCCTTCTTACGGCATCACTGTTGTTTACGAAATTGAGAGGACGAAAAGCGAATGTCTGGTGCTTTAACCGGGTTGGTGGATATGGAAGATTCGTCTAGCGGAGTTGGAAAACCCTCATTCTAAATCAATGGTGCACATGGGCTTCAGGACATCAAGGAAACAAATGGCACATGAACTAATTGTTGGCTATCGGCTATCATTTGACTGCGTCTCCTTACGTTGCTCCACCGCCTTGTGGATTAGACCTTTAGGTCAAAGACTCGGGTAGTGACCCCCTAAAAAAACAATCTCCTTCGGTTTGGGCACCCGGACAGTATCCCATCTCTCACACAAACCGAATGACTTATGTGGCGCATATCTATTTCATGCCTCCTTGTACCATTGTTTATGTGTTTAAATAATAAAATTAAAATAATCTCGTAGTCTATCTAATGCCACTTGATGTATATGTAATAAACAGAACCTTAGAATACTATAGACACTGGGCTGTTTAATATCACAGTTATGATTCCCGGTAAAAACAAGGTTACAATCAATTGGTAGGAAGCCATTTATTATCAAAATGTTTTGTTACTTAATACTTCTCAACAAAGCTTATCTGCAATATTGAAGAAACTGATGCTGCGCATAAGATTCATACTCATGTTACTACTCAGTTCCAGTTAGAAACGCTTCCACTGAACTGTTCAAGTGGTGAATAACCTTTTGTTGGACTGAGTTATGCACGTTGATTGGTTAATAAATGGTGACTGATATCATCTTTTTTCAGTTCTTTACTACTGAAAAGTCATTCTGATGATTGCCGCTCACCATGAAACCTAGATAAAGCTTGTTATTGTGCTCATTTTCCTAACCAACAACTTAAATTAAAATGAATTGCATTTCGATATTGAGCCACCTACAATAGTGGAGAAATTCCAGATCGATCGTAGAAATCTGACCAGATTTAAGCAATTGATAGACATCGCCGGCTAACCTATTGCCATTGTGAACAGAACAGTTATACACAAGGTATGTGGATTAACCTAGATAATTTATCTAATTAGTACACTTGGTATTCAGCAACGTCGATCACCCCTGTTTTTTTCTTCATTAAGATAACTTTTCAACTGTTATCATTCTTTTTTGATCCTTAAAGTAACAGATTCTAGAACAGTATTTGAAATGGAAAATAGATCACTCAATGACCCTCAGATTAAATGGCACAATTTCTCTGTCACTGAAGTAAAACTACCTATTTATTTAGATATGATATGATGATTTGTCCAATATAAAAAGTGGTTTTAGCTCATAGGTTGACTTCAGCTAGACAATTAATGATCAGTTGCTTCATCCAAGTGTGAGACTCCTCAGCTGTTACTGGCTAAATTCCTACTTTGTGGTCTAAATGTAATACTTTCAATCCATAGGTCCCTTGAGTTTCATCCCTGATGAGGTCATGAATACTCAGTACTAAAGATGATCATATTAAGATGAAATAATTACTGATTTCTTTCTAATATCTATGGTCAATTGATAGTGAATGCCATTTTGTGAAACAACAGCTACCTAAGCATATAGTTATCTCTTTTAAAAAAAACCCATTTCAGTGAAGAAGTTGAAATGTTAAAAAAACATCATCAAGAATTAATGGATCGGTTAAAATGTGCATCACAACATGAAATACGTACAATCACTGAATTACAACCAAATAGTGAACAATTAAAAAATCTTTTAGAACAAATAAAAACTACTTTAATCGATTTAAGTAGATCACAACAAGAACAAATAAAAAATACAACAATACGACATGATCAATTAACAAGACGTGAAGAAGCATTACATATACTTGAAGATAAATTAAATCAACGTGTAAGTGTTAATAAATTGGTTTGTTTGTTTGTTTGTTTGTTTTTCATTGATTACTGAAAGAAGTAAATGGCAGAAACATCTTATCAGTATAGGGTTGTGGAGATGATGAAGTTATTGTTTGAGATCTTGAACCGACTGATATTAGATCACCATTGAAAATTTGGAAGCACCAGACGGCCGTTTCGTCTTACTGTGAAACTCCTCAGTGATGCGCATTCAAGATTTCAGCCGCGGGGTTTGGACCTATGGCTTTCAGTCTCGCACGTGAACGCTTAACATATCAGACAATTTGAGCCGACCGGTATCCAACGGTGTTAATATCTAACCTCAACCAATTCACGAAATTACGGGACGATCTTCTTCTTGGAAGTTCTGTGGTACTATACTGATCTAGCTTCAGTCGACTCATGATCTCAACTATTGAAATTACTATAATATCCACAAAACCCCTTTCTGATATTTTAAATTTGTTTTAATTAACTAATTATGTCAATCGACTGAATGTAATTACTCGCTTCCAAAGAATGTCTAAAGCCTATTGCTAGTCTGATTACTGAACAACTCAACGAGAGTAGCACTGTGATGGTTAACATATTTTCCCCATCTTTCTCTATCCTTTGAAGAAATGAGAATGGATCATTATAGAAGTCGTCTATCAAATGCAACATGGAGGCACGACTAATCACAAAAACAATCAGATATAGATAGGAATTACATTTTGTACGTATTCATTAAATAATCACAAGTTACATAAGTATACAAAGGGAAATTTGTTACAATTTCGCAGGTTTTATTATCAGAATTAATTAGTATAATCATATATACCTGAAGTTTGTACTGATGATGTTGTTCGAAAGAACGATGAAAGCTCCACTGTGGTGCGTGCTACTTATATTGATGTAAGTAGTATATGACGCGAGTTAAAAACATAATGTCTTGCAGCAGAAGATGGGGGAAGATCAAGAAAGGAAGAGCGAGAACACAATGGAATTTGTAAGAAAACGCATGAACAATGAAATATGAGACAATGGATTCACAATTGATTGATCACTGGGTGGTGATCAATAACATGTGTGTCAATTTCTTATTTAATGCAGATCGAATGCTATCGATCATGTTGCAATGTGGCCACCAGTCTAGGTGACTCGACACTGCGGGCACTATATATTGAGATTTGGATGGTGGTTGGAGGTAGTCAACAGGAAACCCTGGACCCGGGTTACGTGCTACTTGGAACTCGTCAGCAAGGTGTACCTGTAATCTTGAGGGAACTGATGCTCCCTGGCGGATTCGATCTCGTGTCACCCAGCTTCAAAGTCAGAGACGTTACCACTGAGCTATCCGAGCCGTGACTAACCTCCTGTAGGACTGAGATGTAATCACAATCGATTGATCACTGGGTGGTGATGCCTTGAGTTCGAGAGTTGTTTGAATTTATACTGATTCGTCTCTATTCTTCCAGCATCCGAGTCATCAATGTTCTAGCTCTAGTGAGTATAAACAATTTTAGCATCAATTCAATAAAGCTAATGTCATCAATAACCTTTTTGGAAAAAAAAACTCACTTCGTCAATAAGATGACTGTGGTTGTGAATAGTTTTCACGAACCAATTGTAATCGATGATCATTTTATGGAAATCACTAACTGATCTAAATCGATTTAACACTTAACATTCTTCACAATCCTCCATACTGATGGATCATCGTATTGTTTAAAATAATGCGTAATAATAGTTGCAAATTCATGTCGGTCAGTAGGAATCTCAATTAAGATGTATCGACATTCATACATGTAGATGTTTATTCTAAAGAGTAAACATTTTATGTTAGGAAACCCTAAATTGTCCTACTTTTTGGATCTGATCTGCACCTAGAGGGGGAACCATGACTTTCAACTAGTTGTTTCTAACCACCCAATATTAAGTTTCAAGTCAATGTGATGTTGAATCTCTTAGTATAATAGACTACAGTGAAATTGTAAACTCCCTCATGATTCAGCGTTATTGTTTCTCATTTTAACTTTAAATGACATAAGTTTGAATTCTATGGTAGCAAAGATCAAATCAAAGTCAAGTAGGATTTCCTGTCGATTACTTCCCATAACCTACCATTGTTTTGTTGTAATTGAATGATTATTTTTTCTCTAAAGGAGACTTCATTGGACTATGAACGAAAACAGATAGCAGATTCATTTTCCAAATTGGAAATTCAATTTCGTGAACATAATAAGTTGGCTACAGATGTAAGTTTTTATCATTATAAATATGATTATTGTCTTAATAAGTTAGATAACCACTGGAAGTCTTGAACAGCTGAATAGCCATTTAGTCGTTGTATAGGACTCTTTAAAAACGCTCATCCGTAACTCTGCTATCGGGAATCGAACCTAAAACCTTTGATTTCCGACGTTTTAGATCATTAAGTCAATATTTGATGGTATACAAATGTAATTGTAGATCAGTTATGTCTTCCATTTGAACATAGTAATGTAGTTGACTGTATTTAGGGTTTATAAGATTGTGAAATCTGATATATATGATTAGGAGAAGTTCCATTGGGATTAGCGAAATCAATGGATACAATGTGATTATCGGTATGAAGATGATTACCACATTTGAAGCGAACAATACTGGGTTCCAGTACCGGAGGGAACGTCAACTCTGTGATCTATGTACATGCAATCGACGAGTCCCAATTAAGATTAAATGCTTATAACGCTTGTGACTTAAGGCAATATTGAGGTAATTCGCACAGGATACACATATGCTTATAACAGAAGGATCAATCACAGTCCTAAATATAAATGAGAAAATTCAAATAAGTGATTCAAATGAATGTGAAAATGAGTTTAAACAAGACTTCTTGTTAATCCAAATTGATATATATAGTATAATGGGAAGATGAATTTAACAATATGTTATTCATCAAAATCAATACATTGAGAAATATTCAGTATCTATGTTAACCTCATCAATTCGAAAGGCCTTAATTTGTTACAAATGTATGGCCATGACCCACACCATTTCTCACCGACACTGGTAACATCCGTCTATCAACCAAAGGACGTGTTTACTGCGCAGCAGTTCGTTCCGTCCTACTTTATGGCAGTGAAACATGGCCGGTAAGAGTAGAGGATATCCGTAGGTTACTAGTATTTGATCATAAGTGTCTTCGAAACATTGCTCGTATATCCTGGGACTATCAAGTAAGTAAATCAGTTGTTAGGAAACGGGTTCTAGGTAAGGATGGCAAATCAATTGATGAAGTAGTGAAACTTCATCAGTTGAGATGGCTGGGACATGTGTTACGTATTTCCAACCACCGATTGCCTCGACATGCGATGTTCAGTGGTATAGGAGTAGATTGGAAGAAAGCTAGGGGCGACCAGACTAAAACATGACACAAGTCCATGAAGTCACTGACAAGTGGACTGAGTCATGTTGGTAGGTGTAGACTACTTGGTTGGGGACCGCGAGATGATAGGACCCAATGGTTAGAGACTTTGAATGACATGGCTCAAAATCTTATGCGATGACGCAGGTGTATCCACTCTTTGTGTTCTCCCAAATTCTAATCTCCTGATTCCTCCTTGTCTCTTTTTTCTCTTCCCAAATTTATTTCACTGGATTATACTCTTTAAATAACATCTTCAAACCCTAATGTTTCTGATTACTGCTTATACTCTTACCACCTCTATCACTACGGGATTTGCGTCGACAACTGCATCTCTGTGCTAATGTGGTGCGGCAACTCGAACTGGTGTATGTACGTACGAAGTTCTACGTTGTTACTGACTGATTGACTCGCTTTACAGTCCACTACCTCTGTGCATGATCAACTATAATATTACTATTAACTATTACTCTCCATCTCTTTATTACAATTTGTAAGGTAAACACAAGTTGTTTAGGAAAAACGTTGAAAAGTTTGATGTCAATACTGTTCAATTCTATCGTATTAGATTATAAGAAATTATCCCACACAATATAACTCAATACATTTCACGTCAAATTGTTGTTCTTCATCTTTGAAATGATCTTCATCGTTCATGAACTCAGCGTTAAGCTTCATTGTTTACTTTCAATCCAGTGAAGTAATCTGAAGTCATAACTGAAATGCTACATTGGTACTTGATCATATTGCTTTATTGAATGTTAGCTGTTATTTCTTACAATCTAGATTTATTAGTTCAATGTTATTTAGTTAGCATTTTATTTAGAAAGTATATGACTAAATTAATCAATAATTCCTTCATTTGTTTATGAATAGCTGATGTAGCATCAGTTCATGACATATTCAACTGTGAGACTAAACTATATTGATGAATTCAGATTACTTGGTTGGTGTCTGCGCGGTAACTATAATCCACTGATTTAAGGTGTTTAGTGACATGATTTAGAATCAATCACAAAGGGAGAATCCACTTCTTGGTTTCCCCCTTTATATCTTTGACTTTAAAATGATCATTTGCCTTTTTTAATTTACAAATTTATTCTTCCATGTTGAACTATATTATCAGTGACTAACGTTTTCTACTAGTATGGTAGTATTACTACTTCTGTTGTTATGAGATTTATCTTGCTGTGCTTTTTTGGTATGATAACTTCAGCTGATATACAATATATGCCAGGTTCTACGTTGCCTATGAATGATCGACTAAATAGTTGAGATCAATGTAAGGAGATACAGTCCCATGGTAGTCAGTAATCAACAATAGTTTTATACACCATTCGTTTCCTTAGAATCCTGGAGCCCATGTGCATCATTAGTTTTCCGACACCCTTAGGTGGAGCCGGTTAAAGCGTCGGACACTCGCTTTTCGTCCTTTCAATTTCGTAAACTACACCTCCGACACGAGAAGGTAGTGGCTGTATTCGCTGACAGTGTGAGAGTATTTCGAGAGGGGTAGCTGAATCTCTCCACTCTCGGATGTACCCTAAGGCATTTGGAGGCATTATATCAACAACATTTGATATTACCGTTAATATCTGTATAAAATACACAGTTTTTATAATAAAACTGAAAATAGAATGAATATACATTCTTAGTTGAATAACTAACGAATATCATCTTTTGGGGTTCATTTTTATTACTGTAATCTAGGATAGATGGTTAACAAAACAAGAACATGATAGATTGGCAAAAATTCAAATTAGTTTAGAAGAAGAAAGACGTTGTCTTATTGAACAGTCAGGAAGAGCACGTGCTGAAATGCAACAATTAGTAGTAAGTGAATTCTATTTATCCATTTTGATATGATAAATACAATGAATTGAATAATAATAGTGTTGATTTGTATAGAGTATTTATCAGTCAGTTAGTCAGTTACAACGTTGTGACCAGGCAATGTAGACCATACCTCATTAGCACAACAAGATGAACATCGGATTCATAGAAGTAGTTAATTCCGTGATGGTAATATAGAAAAGAAAGATTGAGTTAGAGTTTGCTTCAAAATCAAGCAACAGTAGACAACTATTCCTTCCTATGATAAAATTCTATAGCAGCTCAAATCCATGACTATTAGTAAGTGAACAGGTGAGTTGTGAGATATGAAAAAGATTTTAAACAGGATTCGAATCCCATGAGCAGGGTTGTGGATGCGCACTGCTAAAGAGTCCCACAATAGGACGAAATGGCTGTCTAGTGTTTCCAGGCTTTCAATGGTGGTCTAATATCAATCGGTTCAAGATCTCAATCAATAACTTAATAATCTCCACAACCCTATATTGAAAACTAATAATAGTTTGATTGTTAATGGCCTAAATATTCATCATAAAGATACATAGAGAAATTATCATTGGGAATGGATGGCTCAGCATGATAAGATAGAATTCAAATGAAATGTAATTAGTAAGATCATAGAAACAGAAATAAGTCAGCTGGGGGTAGAAGGTTTAAAGAGAAGATGGAGGAGGAGGCAGATGGCTGTAAAGGAAGAAAAGTAAGAAGAAAAAAATTGTAAAACATTAAGACTATGATAGAAGAAGAGGTTGTAACAACTCTTTTGGACACACAAATCTGGTTTTCCCCAGATCTATGGCTATTGCTTCGGCAATGGTAAGAAGATGCAATATGACTGCCTTTGGGAAACTTCTACTTACTTTGTAGATGATTTTAAACGCAGAGTCCATCTTGATTGAGTAATCTGTATTCAAAATGTGTTCGATTATTGAACTTCTTATTGAGCCGTTCCCTCCTCTTCTCATTCACGCCGGATAATGTCCTTAAATTATTTTAGATAAAGTACGCATCGAACAACCTATATACCTGGCTCCATATGAGCAGGTAAATTGGTAAATGCACATTGAGTTGGTCAGATGAGATAATTTATCCTTAAGATTACTGATGAACAATGATTGGATGAAAAACACTATTCTCAGTGTTGCTGGGAAGAGCACATTTTTTTAAAGAATCAGAAATTCTCTTCAAAATGTATGTAGCTCTGTCACTCTTAAAGTTCATGTTCATCTATAATGTTTTCTTTTTGACTGAAGTTATTTGTGTTTAAAGCGGTTTCAGTTTTATGTTTTCATCAATGAATATCGAAGGATACCCGTTTTTGATAAATATTCCCTTCAAAAGGCCCAGTTTAGTCATCTATAACCGTGGGATTACAAATTTTTTTTGTATTCTCGTACCAAGTGATATTATGACATTTCGTTTTTGACTAATGGGGATCCAGCTGTAAAAACTTGATAGTTGGTCATTCCACATAAGTTTTCTGTAAATAGATCTTCTTAGAGTTCTATCTCGTTTTGTTATCATTTTCATAAGTATAACTTTGAAAATGAATTCACCGAAAAGAGAACTCTTCAATGAATCAGTCATTTTTAATTAATATCCTAATTTCACTGATTGAAATCATGAGTCAATTAAAGCTAGACCACCATGGAAAACCTGGAAGCACTGGAAGGCCGTTTTGCCCTAGTATGGAACTCCTCAGCAGTGCGCATCCACGATCCCGTACTCCGCGAGATTCGAACTCAGGACCTATCAGTCTCGCTAGTGACTGACTTCAAGAGATACTCCTAGAGTTCTAGTGAGAAGCCGTTACCAGTGGAGTTCAACCAGGTCAGTTGTGAGATAGGAACTCACTGATGACATTGGTGGATGTGTCACTCAATTCTGTGGATTAGTTGAAGTTAGATAATGACACCGTTGGATATCGGCTCAGTGGTCTTGTTGGTTAAGCGCCTGGCGCGAGACTGATATGTCCTGGGTTCATATCACGCGAGGTGGAATCGTGGGTGTGCACTCCTGAGGATTCCCATACTAAGATGAAACAGTCGTCCAGTGCTTCTAGGTTTTCCATGGTGGTCTAGCTTCAATTGATTCACGATTTCAATCAGTGAAATCTCTAAAATCTCCACAAAACTCCTTCTGATAATATCCTAATTGTTTAAAATTTCTCATTTTCTTAAAAGTTCAAAGATGTCAAAGTTATACACTAATCCTCTTATCATTTTCTATAATGTCAGGAACTCAATTTTTCTACTCATTAGGATAAAACAAAACTCAATATTCAATATATTTGAAACTATCAAGTCTAACCTATGATATATTATATTATTATTACCTTTGTTCAATATCATATTTTTAGTACAGTAAAGAATTCTCAACACAGAGTATTTCAACAAGTTCCCGTTTCTTACTTCTTGATCGATTCTAACGACGGATATTGAGTGGTCTCGTCGACTGAATTCGCTGGTATCGATCTCCTACCAGGATGTCCACTTGTCAACTTACAATACGCAGATGACATAGTCCCGATTGGTGAAGACGCTGATAAAATGCAAAGTCTTTTGGTAGCACTGAGCAAAAATGCCAGAATGTTTGGAATGCGCTTCTCCCCCCTCTAGAAATGCAAGTCGTGGCTTCAGGACTGGTCTGCGTCAACATCTGAACTAAGGATAGGAAGTGAAGTAGTCGAACGCGTTGACAAATTCACTTATCTTGGAAGTCTGATCAGCCCTAATGGGTTGGTATCTGACGAAATCTCAGCACGGATTCGAAAAGCTCGTTTGGCTTTTGCCAACTTACGTCACCTATGGCGAATGCAAGATATTCGTCTATCAATGAAAGGATGAGTATACTGCGCGGCAGTCCGTTCTGTTCTACTTTATGGCTGTGAAACACGGCCATTAAGAGTAGAAGATACTCGTAAGCTACTAGTATTTGACCACAGATACCTTAGAAATATTGCTGGCGTCTGCTGGGATCACCGGGTAAGTAATAGTGAGGTTAGACGCAGGGTATTAGGGAATGATGATGGTAAATCAGTTGATGAGGTTGTGAATCTTCATTGACTGAAATGGTTGGGCCATGTGTTACGTATGCCTGAACACCGATTACCACGACGTGCAATGCTAACCGGTGTTCGGAATGGTTGGAAGAAAGTTAGGGATGGCCAAACCAAAACGTGGCATCAGTGCTTGAAGTCACTAACTTCTGTTCTAAGCCATGTTGGTAGATGCAGACTACTTGGTTGGGGTCCGCGTGACTATCTTAACTAATGGTTGGAGACTCTGTGTGACATGGCTCAGAATCGATCGATCACAATGGTATAGGTGTATACACTCCCTGTCTTCCCTTAAACTAAGAGATTGAAATCACTCCATATCTTTCTTTCTACTAACTAATTCTTTCTTCCTATACTATATCCTTATATGCAAACTTTCTCTTATATATTACCACCTTTGACCTAAGCACTCCTATGAATCCGGTGTTCATCTTGCTGTGTTAATGAGGTATGTCAACCTGGATCGATGCATATATGTGCCTGGTTCTACGTTGTAGCTGACTGACTGACTGACTGATTGAATGGTCTTCAGATAGAAGTTAGCAGTTCAGGAATCGACATGTGAATAATATATATACTTTTCTTTGCATATTGCTAACAACTACGATATCTCTAATTGGGCTTTTTTGTAACTTGTACAGCGGAAGGTTGTAAACTTTACATAAATGCACCTTAATAGGTTGTATGATTAATCAACATAATATTGTGTTAAATCAAGTAAAAACAGATAACGTGTTTAAATATCTAAAGTACAGAAACAGGTAGCCCAGACGTTTCAAGCAAGCCTCCACATATCACGTCCGAGTAAACCCGACTATGGATCGTTTCAGGCCTCAACACGCCAGAGTGCAATGGCAAGGCTCCACCTGGGACTAGATGATTCGTAATCATTTTGATCCTGACATTGATATCTAAAAATAAATCAAATTGATTGATCATAGAAATTCATGTATAGTAAACTGATTTTCAAATTTTCCTCTTTTAATATTTTAGTCTACATTCATCAATGAACATCGTAATGCTCAAGTAAAAAATTTAGAAGAACGTAATTTAATCGCTGAAGAACATCAACGTCTACGTACAGAACAATTAAATTGGGAAGCGAAACAAAAATCAGATGAATTAGCTTTAAAAAAAGTATTGTAAATTTTTTTTACTTTATTCGAGTTGAACTATTCTCAGTTAACTATCTAAAATGAACACCGTTAGATGCTGACTCAGTGATCTAGAGGTTAAGCGCTCGCACGCAAGACTGATAGGTCCTGGATTCGAATCTTGCAAGGCAGGATCATGGATGAGCACTGTTGAAAAATTCCAAAATAGGACGAAACAGCCATCAAATGCTCCCAGGTTTTCCATGATGGTCTCGCTTCAATGAACTCATGATCTCAACTACTAAAAATTACTATAATAATAATATCCACAAAGCCTCTTTTGATATCTAAAATGTATCTAAATGTAATTTGTATGTGATTTACCTCACAATTTTGTTTAGCTAAATAAACTGAAATAAGCTTGAAATTCCAAGACAGAAGGTAAAAATTTTTCTGCTCAATGAACCATGTCCTTCACTGAAACGAATAATTATTCAAATACAATGTGATCAATCAATTGTGTAAATCAAATGATAACACATGATTGTGTCAAGTTGAACTTATTAGTTATCAACGAAAATGGTTTAAAAGCTATTTGAAATTACACAAACATTTAAAATATAAAGTTTTGAAAAATACCGAACAAGACGCAGTTGAATAGGGGGAGACATTTGCGAGGATAGAAAAAAGTACGATAGCATTGAAATAAGTAAAGGATTGAATAGTATTGTAATAAATAAGCATACATCGTAATCTAGATGGTGGTTGGAGGTAGTCGACAGGAAACCCTGGACCCGGGGTCCGCGGTGTTGAGTCACCTAGACTGGTGGCCACATTGCAACATGGCCGATAACATTCGATCTGCACTAAATAAGGACTTGACACACATGACAATGATCACCACCCAGTAATCAATCAATTGTGGATACATCGTAATCAACATTTCATAAAATTCAGTGAATATAAGACAGGTTACTGAAAAATAATAATAAGTAGTGTGATGTGAAGCAATAAAAAGACGGAACTAAGGATCCAATGAAAGGTGATGCTAACGGACAGGAAATATCATTCTTTTATGTTTGTGTTTTCTCATCGTTAGTATTTAGGAATACCCATGATCAAAGTATCTGTTAATATATATATTTCCCTCTAAGCGGGTGTCTTAACAGAGTAAACAAGGGTGGAATCAAAGATGAAAGTTTCATCTAGTTCATTACTCGTTACTTGGATGGTTCCAGTGTTAATATTCAATGCTAAATCTTTAACATAATCCCTTCAATCTTCTGGAATTTTTATCCCAGTTAATAACTCATTTCAAATCAACGGTTATTGAGTTATTTAGGCACATATTTATAGGTATTCGTTTTTGATTAATACTTGGGAGAATTCTTCAACTATTCATTAGAATGTATATAAAGTTAGTCAATCTACTGGTTCTGCTTCAGATATTCATCAGCAGATTTTTGGAAACAAATATTAAACCATTCATTGAAAGTTTGTACACTAGACTTTAAATGAATGCTTACTAAATTGGTAGATTTCTGTAGAATGTGAGATTCAAGTTCTGATGTTTGATTCCCGATTGTACATCAGATACATATCATTAAGGAACATACAGTATATCTTGCGAAAATCCAAGATCATTGTTTCGATTAATCAAGCATTAAACACTGTTTTCACAATGCTTAAACGTTCAAAGTATATAAATAAGCTGATTGGACCAACTCATGGACACATCGTGTGAACGCGATACTGTGCACGATTTATTTACTTAAATCAGGCAGTTATTAGAAGTAGTCAACGGGAAACTTTTGGGCTTGGTTTTGAACTGTTTTGTACTCTTAGTCTTGAAAAGATTGATACTCCCCGGTGAGTTGGACCCCTAATTGACCCGTCCTTTGGTCCAAGACTTTACTAAGCTACTGGTACGATGACTAGTTTATTATAGGACTGTGATGTATTTACAATTGATTAACCATCGTTTCCTTCAAGATCACAGGTGTACACCTTGCTAATAAGTGTTAAATATCAAGAAACTTAGATCCAGGATTTCTTATCGACAATCTTTTACAACTTCAAAATATAGTACACATAATAACGAGTCACTTAGACTGATGGCCATATATTACATCTGAATCAATAGAACTCAATCAGTACTAAGAAGAACTTACATACATAACATTGGTCACTACTCAATGATCAATCAGTTGTACTCACTAACTATAAGTTCGATCAGAGCGAATCCTACTTACTTACGAATTCAGCGGTTGTACGAAGGATACATCATACAAACAATCTTTGTCTTATCTCTCTATCTCTCTCATAACAGTTGGATCAATCAATAGCTTGAAGGGTACAAAGAATATACTTATTATCATTACTGAAACATTATCTTTCCCATCCACTAATTAAAACAATGTTACATTAACTGAAAATCAAATTACTGGGTTTTTTTTCTATCGACTATGTTTGTTGTTACATAAGCGATACAGTTTTGTACATCTTTTCCCCCTCCTTGATTATGTCATCAATAATATTGACTTATTTTAAAGAAATCAATTCAAAAAGATAAAAACAAGACAGAAAGTCATATATACATATGTGAGCTCAACCAGGTCTATTGTGAGATAGTAACTCATTGATGACAATGGTGGGTGTGTCGTTCAATTTTTTGCATTGGTTGAAGTTAGACCTAATTAATACCGTTTGATATCGGCTAAGTGATCTAGTGATTAAGCGCTCGCGCGCAAGACTGATAGGTCCTGGGTACGGATCTCGCGAAGCGGTGTTGTGGATGCGCACTACTGAGGAGTTCCATACTAGGACGAAACGGCCGTCTAGTGCTTTCAGGTTTTCCATGATGGTTTAGCTTCAATTAGCTCATGATCCCTTGTTATTATATTCAACATTTATTCTATTTAAATACATAAACATTGGTACAAGGGGGCACCAAATACATATACGTCACACAATACCAATGAGGCCGGTAGTATTTATCATTGGTCTGTGTGAAGGCTTCGATGCTACCTGGGTGCCCAAAGCAGGTGGTTTCACCAGGGGGTCACACCTTAAACCTTTGACCTAAAGATCTAATCCACAGAGTAGTGGAGCAACGTAGGAGATGCACTTCCATGGTAGTCACTGATCAACAGTACGTTCATACGCCATTTTTTCCCTCTGGACCCTGTAGCCCATTCGCACCATTAGTTTGGAATGAGGGTTTTCAAACTCCCCAAGGTGGATCCTACACGTATCCACCAAATGATATTTAAATACTTAATTGAACTTAGATTTTGTTTAGTTCCTTACTTCAAATGATATTTGTCATGAATCAGTCACAGTTAGAAGAGTATTGAAAAGTAGGTAGGATTGAATAACTGTTTCGTCCCATTATGAGAATCTTCAGAATCACAAACTCACAACCCAATCAGGACTTGGATCTAGGACCTCATGGCCAGCTTCCTATTACTAGATTAATATATACGTGATTACGTGAATTGAATAAGTTACTACTGACATCAGGTGAAATTCAATAAATGATAACAAGTAAATAATTATAGAATATGAATAATATCTCAGTGAACAATAACACAAGCGGGGATAACTAAATTACAGAATCTCTTAGTAAAATCTGAAAACCATACAGTAAATACTTCATTTACAAAACGTTCATCAATTGTCTCAGACTTGATTGTTCCTTTACATCCATAACAATCACTCTCTGTTCTCGTTCTCTTCTCTTCAATCTTCCCGACTTTCTGCCACCAGGCATTCCATTTTCGACATATATACTACTTATATCTGTCGATATAAGTAGCACACACCACAATATTATTTTAGTCTTATTTATTTAGTCTTCCCATTGTTATTTAGGATTGCAATCGATCATTCTCTTATTGGCATATGTACATCATGTGTGAAATGCCACGATATTGCCTGAAGTCACAAGTTTTATAAGCAAATATGGATAGCAGTGAAATCCAGGACACGTGTTTCATCAGATGAGAATGTACATACATCTCAGAGTTGATGTTCACCTGTACAAGCAAATAGCTATCATGACTTAGTAGCTAAGTGGATAACATGATGGTGTCCGAAGTCTCAGAGTAAATTTTAACTGACGAGTCCCAACCATGACGAAACCCACGTCCTTGATTCCACTGCTAGCCATTATCTGTCTTTACTCATAAAACGTTGAGATATATGCCAGTTTAAGATGTTGTTATAGCTATAAAATTGTAAACTTAAAAATCAATGTGACCCTAGTTATGAAGTGTTTTATATGCATGAATGACCTGAATAAGATATATACATTTTGTATAGTTCTAATGTGTTCTGTTTATGTAATATACGCACAAGGTATGTTTATGAGAATAGAAAATGAACTATTAGTATGCAAAAATTGAAATAATACAAAATATCAAATGTGATATGGTATCTGTACTCCTTGAATAACATCTTCAAGCCCTAATGTTTCCGATTACTGCTTATACTCTTACCGCCTATACCACTATGGGATTTGAATCGACAACTGCATCTCTGTGCTAATATGGTGTGGCAACTCGAACTGATGTACGTACGTAAGAAGTTCCACGTTATTACTGACTGACTGATGGTGTCTGTAGTATGTAGGACATTTTCGTGTACCTCAATTATTAGTAATGAAAAACTTGAAAATCACATGTCAGAAATTACGTAATATTTGAGTTTAAACATATTTGACAAATGGTTAATGGGTTTTCAGGATAAGTAACGATAATTTCATTGATGAATTATATTCGTAATCGTGTTGTAATTGATATCTCCTGGATGCGAAGTGAATTCCGACTGAAGCTCCTCTTGTGCTACTGCGCAAAATATTTCGGATCCGTTGTGGGAGAGAATAAGCACGATTCCAGCGGAAGAATAAGTTAGGATAGGACACACATTGAGAAAAGCGCCCAACTGCGTCACAAGACAAGCTTTCATATGGAATCCTCAAGACTAATGCGGGTCAAAAGGAAGACCAAAGAACACATTACACCAAGAAATGGAGACAGAAACGAGAAGAATGAACAACAATTGGATAGAACTAGAGTGGAAATCCCATGACAGAGTGGGTTGGAGAATGTCGGTCGGCAGTCTATGCTCAATTGGGAGTAACAGGCGTAAGTAAGGAAGTAAGGATGCGGAGTGATGAATCCATACTACTGAATAGTCTCATACAAAGATGAAACGTCCGCCCATTACTTCTATATTCACAATAATGATCTAGTCAAGGTATATGTTTAAGACAGTATCATCTTTTCATATTGTTGAGTTCATGTTCAACGTGATCAATTGTTGCCTTTTTTTGTTAGAAAACATTTGAACTGTCAAATTTTACTTGATTAACATTTTACTACTTAGGCTAAAGAAGATATTGATGCAATGAAAGAGAAATTAGCAATGGAACGTCAATCATTGAATGAGAAAATGAATAAATTAAGAATTGATGAAATGAAATTAGAAGAAACTCGACGACAATTGGATATCGTCAGGTTACTTATTATTGTGTTGTTTTTCCCTTGCACAAAAAAATGTGTTTCATTGTGAATAATTTAAATAATTAATGATCAATATTGAGGTTTAGGAGATTGTTACATATTTGATCGAGATCATGAATCAAATGATGTTAGAAAACCATTGAAAATCTGGAACCACTCGACGACCGTTTCGTTCTATTTTGGGACTACTCAAAGATGATCAGTGGAGTTAATCCATGTCATGTAGGGACATGTATCTACCTTGATACAATGGAAGATGGTCGTGCGATTTCGTGGATTGATTGAAGTTAGACCTTAACATCATTGAATTCCGATTCAGTGATCTAGAGTTTAAGCGTTCTCATGAAAGACCGAAGGCTCTGGGTTCGAATCCCCTGTGCGGGATCCTGGATGATCACTAATGAAGAGTTTAGTGCTCCCGTGTTTTCGATGATCGTCTAACATCATTCGATTGATAATTTCAATCAAGAAATTATTGATCAACTAGTTGACCAAGTTCACTGCTTTTCCCGATTTTTTACATACCTCATGTTTTCACTTAATCAACCCTTCCAAGATCACTGACTTATCAAACAATGACGACCAACTTGATCTTTTCAACATCGATCATTATGATTGAATAATTGGATTGGTTCATAAAGATCTAAGATATTGGAGATTTGATCGCATTTCTATTCGCTAGTAGACAAAGTCTATTGAATAGTGAATAAAATAGGTAACAAGTAATGATCCTATAAAAATTGTTTTCTGCACTTTGCTAAAAAAAGTTTCAAATGAGATCAAATCATTTTGTTTTGATGAAGTTTTGTTCTGTGAGTTGAATGATTTAGTCGTGGAGCTTTCATTGTTCTTCTAAACAACGGCATCAGGTCCTAGAACATAGACATACATTCAGACGCCCCACAATCGTAGTATTTCTCGACCTTAAGGCGGCATTTGACTCTGTTGATCGTGAGGTTCTATGTCAGTGTTTGTCACTGAAAGGAGTACCAAAGAAGTACATTAACCTTGTAAAGGCTCTCTACTCAAACACAACAGTCGGGTGAGAACTTATGGCAAACTGTCATCAGAATTGATTACCTCAAGTGGTGTTCGTCAGGGCTGCCCACTCTCTCCATTGTTGTTTAACTTTGTCATTAAAGTACTTTTAGAGATAACACTTTCCTCATGTAAATTTACAGGGGTTGAACTTCTACCAGAAGATTCATTTGTTGACTTAGAATATGCCGATGACATAGTTCTATCTGGTGAAGACGCTGACAAAATGCAGAGTCGTCTGACCACTCTAAGCAACAATACAAGCATGTTCGGCATGCGATTCTCTCCCTCGAAATGCAAAATGTTGCTTCAGGATTGGGTTGCATCGACACCCGAACTAATGATAGGGAGTATAGTAGTTGAGCGTGTCGACCGCTTCACTTATCTTGGAAGTCTCATCAGCCGTTGTGGTCAGGTGTGTGCCGAAATCTCAGCACGTATACAGAAGGCTCAACTAGCTTTCGCCAACTTGCGTCATTTATGGAATAGGCGAGATATCCGTCTATCAACCAAAGGATGGGTTTACTGCGCAGCAGTTCGTTCCGTCCTACTTTATGGCAGTGAAACATGGCCGGTAAAAGTAGAGGATATCCGTAGGCTACTGGTATTTGATCATAGGTGTCTTCGAAACATTGCTCGTATATCCTGGGACCATCGAGTAAGTAACGCAGTTGTTAGGGAACGGGTACTAGGTAAGGATGGCAAATGAATTGATGAAGTAGTGAAACTTCATCAGTTGATATGGCGGGGACACGTGTTACGTATGCCCAACGATCGACTGCCTCGACCAGCGATGTTCAATGGTATAGGAGTAGGTTGGAAGAAAGGTAGGCGGCCAGACCAAAACATGAAACAAGTCCATGAAGTCACTGACAAGTGGACTGAGTCATGTTGGTAGGTGTAGACTACCTGGTTGGGGACCGCGAGATGATAGCAACCGATGGTTAGAGACTTTGAATGACATGGCTCAAAATCGTTTGCAATGGCGCAGGTGCATAAACTCTTTGTGTTCTCCCAAATTCTAATCTCCTGAATCCTTCTTGTCTCTTTTTTTCTCTTTCCAAATTTATTTCACTGGATTATACTCTTTAAATAACATCTCCAAACCTTAATGTTTCCGATTACTGCTTATACTCTTGCTACCTCTACCACTACGGGATTTGAATAGACCACTACATCTCTGTGCTAATGTGGTATGGCAACTCGAACGGATGTACATACGTACGAAGTTCTACGTTGTTACTGGCTGACTGATTGACTGACTGAGGAGTGAAGTGTTCTCCATATATGTCATGTACTTTTTTTCTCACCATTCACATGTTCTTTTTTTCATACAGATGTGATCTTGTTCGTGAACAAGACGTGTTAACACATCGTGAAGAATATTTAGATCAACGACAAGATGAATTAAATAAACGTTCTGAAGTTTTAAATCAAACAGAGAAACTATTAAAAGAATCTGAAACTCGACATCGTCGTTTACAAGATGAACAAAGTAAACAATTCACTGAATTACAAGAAAAAAATCATAAGTTACATGAAATGGAAAAACAACTTGTTCTTGTAGGTCTTTGTTTGTTTTTTGTTGTTGTAGAAGAAGTTAGTTAATAAAGGTTTTTGTGTAAAGACTGGTTCAATCTGTAAGGTATATTTGTTACAGATTGATCATAGTTTATTAAGATTCCCTGATCTTGAAAAGGTCGTGTCTGAACACTTCTGATAAGTCTTGTACTAGAACAAAATGGATGTTTAGTACTTCTTGGTTGATAACGAATCAAGTCATTCTCTTCAAAATGTCTTCAATTAAACCATAGTAGTCAGATCTTTAATGACTTACTTTAAGATACTCTTAAAATTCGAATAAGATGTGACTGATGAAGTCCAGACATATCTGGAGTAAAACAATTGTCTCCAATGACATTTAGTTATCATCACGCTTTAATTTAAATAGAATTGTTAAGTGTTCGAAGTAAGGCATAGAAGGTTCTGGCTTCGATCCCTGATATGATTGTAAGTGTGAACTGTTAATAGTCTCATGTATACATTGATCGACTTCTAATGCTTCTTGAACCTTAGTGGTACCTCAATTAAGATCAGTTTGTAACGAATACGATCATTAGTTTTAATGGACACACACAATACAACTACTACTGGTATATATATTTAGTGAGGTTATTTTAATGATAGACGCTAGACCATACCTCTGAAATTCGTAAAAACCATAGTACATAATCACATACGCTTTAAACATAATTGAACCATTGAAGAAGCTGAAAGTGAAGTACTCATCTTCTGTAAATCAGATGTTTACTTACTACTACCTTGTTATGTCCCGATAAGAATAACGAATGGTAATCATTTGGGATCCATCTATGGATCAATACTAAATGTATACTTTATCGTGTAATTGTTGAATAACCAAAACTATGCATACTCATATTCTTCTTATCATATGCTTTATTTTTACCTATGAACTATTTATATACGATTTACCATTCCTTAGTTATGCCCTGTCTATTAGTCACTGCCTTCCACATTCACAGCCACATTTGGCCAAATCGTGTACAAATGTTATTTTCTATTTCATGCTACGTTGTGGTCTGTTTGATTGGTATATAAACTCAGTATGTTTGAAATATAATGGTTCATATCGCAGAGGCTGAGATTGGCGTTCTGGACTTGACTGGCTGGGCTAGTCAGAAATCAGGCCCGATATGTACTGTAGACCGCTCATACGGGTTTACGCGTCATTGATTCGATTGATATGTCACTGCTGCCTAATTGATGGTATCATTACGTTATACGTTAACAGGGCACTCAGGTCACAAGTTATAACATAACTCTACAAAATAACATGATTATTTTACAGTTTATGACCAAATCATCCAGCTCAAAAAACAAACTTCTATTAAAATCATACATATGAGCTACAAATCTTCTCCACTATGAACTATTTGCCCTGCCTATCTGCTCTGAAAAATGTAGAAAGCTTCAAGTGCTTGGATAGCATCATCAATTAACAAGGAGGATCTGATGAAGATATGAAGGTAAGAATTAGCCATACAAGGACAGCATTCCTACAATTGAAGAACATATAAAAATGAAAACGACTGTCAACCAATACCGAAGTCAGAATCTTCAATACGAACGTCAAGACAGTTCTACTGTACGAAGCCAAAACTTGGAGAACTACTTCAAACGTCATCAAGAAGGTACAAGTACTTTTAAATAGCTGTTAATGAAAGAGACCTAACTTCCATTGGCCGGACACCATTAGCAACGCCTAATGTGGGAGAGAACAAATTAGCTTCCAGATGAAAAAGAAATTAGAAAAAGACGATGGAAATGAATAGGACATACATTACGGAAATCATCAAACTGCATCACGAGACAAGCCCTAACATGGAATCCTGAAGGTAAGCGGAAAAGAGGAAGGCCAAAGAACACATTACGTCGGGAAATAGAAGCAGATATGGAAAGAATGAATTACAACTGGAAGGAGCTGGAAAGGATTGCCCAGAACAGGGTTGGATGGAGAATGCTGGTCAGTGGCCAATGCTTCTTCACGAGGAGTAACAGGAGTAAGTAAGTTTTATGAGGTTTGCCTCCATATTGCGATTTCTCCATGAATTTTTTTTCAAGATAAATAGATTATGTCTAGCGGTGGAAAAAAAGGATCTGAGTTTCGTTTTTGTTTGAATCTCTTCACCTGAATGTATATACATCCAAGTGTTGATGTTTAATTAATAGCACATCAGTGTTTCAAGTAAAACGTACTGAGCTCAAGTTTAAATATGACTATCAGCTCATACATTCAACTGACAAGTCTTGAATAGAATGCAATTTCCACGATAGATTCCATTCGTAAGCTCTATAATTCATCTATTCATGCCTTAAGTTCATTTCTCTCTGTGTTTTCTTGTTTGTTTTCAAGGAGAAGAAACAATTAGCACAACAAATGGATAAATTGTCTAAATGTAAATTAGAAACAGATAATCATTTAAAACAATCAATGTGTTTAAATTGTCGTATACCAGTTAAAGAAAATGGTTCTACTCATCGTTTACATCATAAATTAGACAATGATAATACAGTAATAAAGACAAATCAAAAACGAATTATAACAATGAATGGAAATAAGAAAGGTAAATTGTAATTTCTGTCAATATACTTATGTAGTGAATGAGAACACAAGTGGAGACAATCTCGAGAGTATTTGAATTTATCTCAGATTTCATTGTTCATGGATTGGTTGAAGTTAGACATTAACACCGTTGGATACTGGCTCAGTGATCTAGTTGGTTAAGCGCTCGTGCGCGAGACTGATAGGTCCTGGGTTCAAATCGTAGATGCGCACTGCTGAGGAGTCCAATACTAGAACGAAACGACCGTCCAGTGCTTCCAGGTTCTCCATGGTGGTCTAGTTTCAATTGAATAATGATTCCAACTATTGGAATTTCTATACTAATTACTTTCTGTTCCCATTCTTTCCTTCTCGACCTTCTACTGCCAAACATTCTATTCCTCTCTAGGGTTATATAGTACTTATGTCAATATAAGTAGCACATATCACACTTAATTCATTGTAGTTTAGAACTCATTTTCATAGTTGAAATCAAATACCAAATCTAATAATACACTTGATAGAGTATTTGATCAATGAATCAATTTATAATATTAGACTATTGTCATCATTGAAGTTTGAAATTTGGATCACACCATTTTTAAAACTTTTGTATTTATATCCACTTGATGTTGTATAGTCGTATCTTCTTATTGTTATTTAGGACTGCAATTGCTCATTCTCTTATTGGCATATGTGCATACTGAGCGGGTTGCCTCAATATTGCCTGAAGTCACAAGTTTTATAAGCAAAGATGGATAGTGGATAGGAGTGGAATCCAGGGCATGTGTTTCATCAGCTGAATGTACTTGCATCTCAGAGTTGATGTTCACCTGCACAAACAGATGGCTATCGTGACTCAGTAGCTAAGTGGATAACGCAATGGGGTTTGAAGCGAACGGAACTGGGTTGGAGTCTCAGAGTGAACATCAACTCCGTGGTGCAGGTATATCCAACTGACGCGTTCCAACTAGGATGAAACACAAATTCTGGATTCCACTGTTAGCTACTATCTATCTTTGCTTTTGTACTTATACTTGGATTTTAAAGTTCTGATTTTGATCCTTCATATTTGCGTTTTGGACGTGTATTGGGTATGTCCCTTTTGATGAGACGGGATAGTTCTTCATTACTCTATAGTGTTCAGTGCTTATCAAACTGATGTTAGTTTATGTTGAAGATTAACTTTCGGTAAAGTAGTTTTTACAAATTCAGTTGAATAGCGTTGAGGTTACACGTAGGATACAAGTTAAAGAATAGAAACCATTTGTGTATCTTCACGTACTGAAATTGTTTGAAAATATGTTATGAATATTTATCAACACCGTACCTCAACTCAGAATGTAGACTGGAGTAGGAGTAAATGAAGAAGAAGCATCAGTGCATAAACCCATTGATTGTCGATCTGAACCATCTTAGTTGTTGTAGACTATTTAATCTGAAATCTTCGCGATTATCGTAAACAAAGATTGCAGCTAAGAATCGTCCACAATGCATCACATAAATTCACACTTTTTCCTAAAATATACATACTTTTTATTTTATGAGTTCATTCTTTCTTCTTGAATAACACTGTCTATTCTTAATCTCTTTTTATTACCATCAAGTTAGTTATAACTTCTATTGCTCAGGTATTTGTCTTGTTACTTACTTACGCCTGTTACTCCTCGTGAAGAAGCATAGGCCGCTCATCAGCATTCTCCATCCAACCCTGTCCTGGGCAATCCTTTCCAGCTCCTTCCAGTTCATATTCATCCTTTACATATCTGCTTTTATTTCTCGACGTAATGTGTTCTTTGGCCTTCATCTTTTCTGCCTCTCTTCAGGATTCCAATTTAGGGCTTGCCTCGTGATGCAGTTTTTCTGGTTAGCGTTGTTTTAGCGAGTTAGTTTTCTACGGGATGGGGACGCTAACCCCATGCCCGACCCTCCTCCGTTATCCGAGCTTGGAACCGGCAGTAACCCCCGGAAGGATTTCAGGCGGAGTTTGATGATTTGCGTAATGTATGTCCTATTCATTTCCATCGTCTTTTCCTAATTTCTTTTTCAGCTGGAAGCTAATTTGTTCTCTCCCACAAAAGGCTGTTGCTGATAGTATCCGGCCAATGGATTTCGAGTATCTTTCATGAACAACTGTTTAAAAATACTTGTACCTTCTTGATGATGTTTGTAGTAGTTCTCCAAGTTTCGGCTGCGTACAGTAGAACTGTTTTGATGTTCGTATTGAAGATTCTGACTTTGATATTGATTGAAAGCTGTTTTGAGTTCCATATGTATGTTCTTCAATTGTAGGAATGCTACCCTTGCTTTTCTAATCCTCGCCTTGTCTTGTTAGTTGAATCTATTGATGGTAATATAGTGTGACCATATAAAATGATCCTTATTATTGAACGAGAGGAGGACTATTGAATACTAAAATGATTTTGGATAACTGTTCTATTCTAGTCATAAAGTATTTGACAATAGTGTATACTCCCTTCACCTTGGATTATTGACTTAACAATCTAAGTTTAACATTTACACTTTGATAATATCCATTTCAACTATACAAGTGAGAATGTTATTTCTACTTCATGAATGATAATGATTAGTTATATTGTTGCTATGCATTTAACCAAATAAATAATCACTAAGATAGTTTTCTTTCTTATAGAATTCAGTAATGGTTCTTGGAATGATCTTTCACAGTTACATACTTCTCAAGATCGAGTAAGTTGTGTAAAATTTTAAATCTTTTTTCAATACTCTCTAATCTTTATTGATTTGAACATATAACTATTGATACAAAGGGGTATCAAATAGATATGCACCACATAAGTCACTTGATTTGTATATATGAGGGATGGGATACTGGCTGGATGCTCTGACCAAAGCAAGTGGTTTTCTTAGAGGAACAACATCTGGAGCTTTCAATGTAAACATCCGATCTATAAAACAGTGAAGCAACGTTAGCACATAGTTTCCCATTATTATTCTCTGAACTTTGAAGGAAAGGTTCTATTGTGATAAGTAGGGTATCATGAAGGCTAGTAATAAGATATATATAATGAATCTTTCAATAGTTTTATAAATACAGTTATGGATAGACATGTAAAATCTTACAAGTAACCGACAAGCTTTATCTTATTCCGTAAAAATCTCAGCGAATCAATTTGAAGTACATTCAACGTGACTATCGTAACCAATGGTTGGAGACTATTGGTGACATGACTCAGAATCGATCGATCACAAATGGCGTCGGTGTATACACAGTCTGTCTTCTCTTAAACTGTGAGATTAAAGTCACTTCATATCTTTCTTTCTACGAACTGATTCTTTCTTCCTATACTATATCTTTATATACAATCTTTCTTTTATATATCACCATCACTGAATTAACTACTTTTATGAATCCAATGTTCATCTTGTTGTGTTAATGAGTGAGGTATGGCAACTGGGACCGATGCACATATGTGCTTGGTTCTACGTTGTAGCTGACTGACTGACTGACATTCAACGTTTCACCTGACAATCTGATCAAAGCTTTTTCAAGGAAATATACAATCAAACATCATCATTATCGAATATAAATAAGGACATGATTCTCTGGTTAACTTCATACTAAAATAGATCATCCAAATAAACGTTAACAATTTTAATAGTTAAGATCATGAGTCAATTGAAACTAGACCACCATGGAAAACTTGAAAGCACTGGACGGCTGTTTCATCCTATTGTGGGACTCTTCAGGAGTACACATCCAAGATCCATGATGGTCTAACTTCAATTGACTCATGATCTTAACTATTGAAATTACTACAATCTTCACAAAAGCCCCTTCTGATATTAAACATTAACAATGTTTAAATTAGGTAATTGCTTTAGTATACAAGAGATATGTGGTATGAAACGAAAGATGGGTGAAGATAACAGATTGTATGTATTCACAAATGGGTATGAGAACAAATTTCATTTACTATATATTGCTTCTACAATACAATGAGACTATAACTTATAGATGAACCAATGAGATTTACAATAACAGGTTTTGAATTTCAGCGTGAAATTCATTCATACAATTCATTAAATAGAGTTTTATCAAAAGGGGTTTTGTGGAGATTTTCACTGGTTGAAATCATGAGTCCATTGAAGCTAGACCACCATGGAAAACCTAAAATCTGCACAAAACTCCTTCTGATAATAATCATCTGCTCACTAGTGACTGACTTCAGGAGATACTCCTGGAGTTTTAGTGAGAAGCCGTTACCCATGGAGTTCAACCAGGTCTGTTGTGAGATATCAACTCACTGAAGACAATGGTATACGGTGGCGCAACTTCATGGATTGGTTGAAGTTAGATATTAACACCGTTGGATGCCGGTCGGCTCAGTGATCTAGTTGGTTAAGCGCCTGATGAGAGAATGATAGGTCCTGGGTTCGAATGTCGCGGGAGGCAGGATCATGGATGCGCACTGATGCGGAGTGCCGTGTTAGGACGAAACAACCGTCCAGTGCTTCCAGGTTTTTCATGATCGTCCAGCTTCAATTGACTCATGATTTCAACCAGTAAATAGAGTTTTGTCATCATAACTGATGTCAGTTCATGATGTAAACCCTTAAAATCTAATTCCTAACTCCTAATTATAAACTGTAAACTATAATTCAAATCTCCCATATTGGTTTATAACCATCATTTAGTCATAATATGTAAGTAGACATCTTCAAGATCACCGTAGCGTCAACTAATAGTCTTCCATAAGCTATAATCTCATCAGAATTCTACATTATACTTCATATTCGACATTGACATTTTATTATTGTTGTTGTTGTTGTTTCTCTTTACTTTTTCAGGAATCTTTTCATTTAAATGATGGAAGAGAAGATAGAAAACAAGAAAAATTGTTTATTTTTGAATAATCTTTAGATACTACTAACTACTATTATTATATGTGAATAGGAAACAGTTTAGTTTCTTTGGCTCTATTCACCTCTTCATTACTCTCTCTCTCTCCTTACCTCACTCTATCTATCTATCTATCTCTCGCCTACCTCTCTCTATCTCTTCCTATGTATCCTTTATTTCATTTAGTAATGTTTATATAAATCATTCTCTTTAACTGTATTATTCTATGTTTCTATTTAAAAGTAAGAAAACCCTATTCATTTGATTGTGTTCTTAATATTATGGATGGTATATTTTTTTAAAAAAAATTTAAGTTATCCCTAACAACATGATAATATAAACTCTCAATATGTATATTTTCATAGTGATAATGATAGTTTAGGGAACAGAACACGGTTGGTAACAATCGAATGTATTGGAACATACTATTAGTACTACCACCACCACTACTACTACTGTAGGGAACAGAACACGGTTGGTAACAATCGAATGTATTGGAACATACTATTAGTACTACCACCACCACTACTACTACTGTAGGGAACAGAACACGGTTGGGAACAATCGAATGTATTGCATCATACTACTAGTACTACCACCACCACTACTACTACTACTGTAGTGAACAAGAACACGGGTGGAACAATCGAATGTATTGCAACATACTACTAGTACTACTGTGGTGCGTGCTACTTATATTGATATAAGTAGTATATAACATGAGTTAAAAGAACGTAATGTCTGTCAGCAGTAGATGAGGGAAGATCAAGAAAGGAAGAGCGAGAACACAATGAAATTTGTAAGAAATCGCATGAACAATGAAATGTGAGACAATGAATTGATGTTTGCAACAGGAACAGTCCAGGTTGATATGATGGATTGATATTTTGCAAATTAACGATTTACTATATGGTTTTTCTATTTTAGCAAGTAATTCTGTAATTCGTGCTAAATACAATTTGGTTGTTCTCACCCGTGTTCTCCTTCACTACACAACCACCACCACCACCACTACTACTACTGTAGTGAACAAGAACACCGCAATCGAATGTAGTTGACACGACGTTACAGGACTTGTTAATAAAATCTTCATCAAATATCTCAAAATGACTCAGACTTCATTGTTCTTGCATTTTCATACAAATTGCATTCTGTTCCCATTCTTTACTGTTCGATTCTCTTGTGTCTCTGCTACCAGACCTTCTGTTTACGACTAACATCATGTACTACTTATGTCAATATAAGTAGCACATACCACAATAGTGTTGATTAGAATTTTTAGTGAGATTGTAATTTATGAATGACGTTCGGGTGACTATGAGAATGTTCACCTACTATTTACAATTCAGTGAGGGTTATAAACTAGTATGAAGAATTAGAATTATGATTTACAGTTGATGGTTAAGGTTAGGGTTTTATAATATAGAAGCTTAGATTCTTAATATTACCGCGTATAACATAAGCACTCGGACGGCAGAACTTGTCGTCATTTAGATTGGACGATGTTTGTTGATAGGCTCTCCACTTTAGTGATCTGAGATCCGACTCCAATTTGATCGTATGAATGATTGTTATTGAAATATACATATGTCGCCTATCCTCGTATATAATCACTGACTTAAATCGCGTTAGTCAATAACGGAATTAAATAAGTCAAATAACGAGAATGGACTTTTGAATACATAAATTTTGTATATGAAGTGAATGGAATAGAGAGAAGCAAAACGACGCACGGTGGAGATGGCGGGTAAGCCAACTCCCATTTAATCAAGAGTTTGTAGTGTGGCGTCGAGTCGCGGTTGATTATGATCACCACTACAAGAAGGTTGCGTACCAAATATCAGAAGGCGATTGAAAGTTGTAGCGATATATATTTGCTGGCGATCCCGTGGTACCGAAAGAATACCGAGATCGTACCAAAAGAGTACAAGCGGAATCACTGAGCAAACGTAAGTGCATGCAAGGTCACAATCAACGGAAGGAAGAATGTCTTCAGTACAGTTAAACAAACAAGTACAGTAAACCAATCCCTGATACAATTGGTTATAATAGTAATTGTTTCGATTACATCAATCGCGTTCTCTTGATAAAAGTAGGTCACTACAAGTTAATCAATATTTATAGTCACACAAAAATAAGTCACAGATATGTGATTGAATAAGATAAGAAATGTACACACGTATATATGCGCTCATATAAAAACGGTTAAGGTTGATGAGCGGATAGAATGGGCTGTCCGAAAGCTAGGCATATGAGCTCCACATAGTAACTGACACTACAAACCCTCCAAGTTGCAAATAAGACAAATAGAAGAAGACTGGAGAGGAAAGTGCTTGTTGGTTAAGAATCAAAATGTACAGAAAATCATGGATATTTATAGATCTTAGCGGCTGTTAAATCAATATTATAATCCAACCAATCTGTAAAGAGGTGTGTTATGATAATGATCAATAGTAGTATACCGTCCTAACAGTTAGCAATTAGATTTAGGTGTTTTCATCATGAACTAACATCATCTATAATGCCAAGACTCTATTTAATCAAATGGATGAGTGAATGAACTTTGCGCCAAAATTCAAGACCTATTATCTTAAATCTGATTAGTTTGTTCATAAATTCTAGTCTTGCCGTAAATTTTTTTTGTTATTATTTTCATTACTATTTGGGAGTAACTACCACAGTAACGTCAAACATACTGTATGATTCCGGAGGGTTTTCAACGACTTGGGAAGTCAGGCTGTGTTTCCCGCTAGAGATAGATCGAGTCTTGTGATTGCAGTCCCTAGGCGTTTCCTGTTGGGTACCATTTAGAGGACGGAGGACAGAAGAAACCTGCTTCCTTGAGTTTTTAATTAAGACAAGCCTCTTTGAAGACCGTCTTCCCTCCTTTGATCAATGTGAGTCAGTTGTTTCCGAGCTCACTTGAGTTTGCTCCACGTCAATTTGCGTGTCAACAGAGTGAGTGCTGTCCGATGTGTCACGACCACGCTCGCTAAAACACTTCCGCAGTATTTACCATTGAGATGGCCTCGATTAGCAACCTGTATGCGTCCGAACAGCACTGCTGACAAAGCCATACACAACCGTTTTTGCTGAACCGTTTGAAAGTCACATGCTTCGAATTCGTGCAAACTTCGTGGTACCAGTCTTTGTACTCATCACACTGCATGCCACTTTCAACGGGATCTCGATAGTTTAGATGTTGGTAATTGCTTTTTTGCACTGTCCAGTCATCAAACAGAGGTCGTTTCAGACAAAAAATGATCTATGACCAAAAAAAGTGGAAAACTGTAGATCGTTAGAACCAAAAGTACTAGCAAATACAATAGAAAACAAAGTACTCAAATGTACCGACGATAAACTACTTTAGAAAGAAAGCGCTACTCTTATCAAATACTTTAATTGAAATAAGTTCAATTAATGTGTAAACAATAGTCTTGAAACATAATAAACGATCAGAACAATAGAATTTACTCAGCGAGGAAAAATACCACTGTCTTTTTAAACAGCGCACGACGTTTTCTTTCACGATGTGTTAATTTTCGATTAAAATGGTTAAAATGTGATGATTAGTTGATTAATATGCACTACTGAAGAGTACTTACTTACCTACGCCAGTTACTCCCGATGGAGCATTGACCGACGGCCACCATTCTCCAACCCACTCTATCCTCCGCCTTCCTTTCTAGTTCCATCCAATTCTTGTTCATCCTCCTCATGTTTGTCTCTATTTCTCGAAGTAATGTGTTCTTTAGTCTTTCTCTTCTCCTTTGGTCTTGGGGATTCCATATGAGGGCTCGCCTTGCGACGCGGTTGGATGCTTTCATCGATGTCTGTCCTATCCATTTCCAGCGCTTCTTCCTGATTTCTTCCTCCGTTGGAATCTGGTTTGTTCTCTTTCACAATAGGTTCTTGCTGATAATGTCTGGTCAACGAATCCGAAGTATTTTCCATAGACAACTATTAATAAACACTTGTATCTTCTGGGTGATGGCTTTCGTAATTGTTCAAGTTTCCGCCCCATACAGTAGAACTGTTTTGACATTTGTATTGAAATTACTGACTTTGGTGTTGGTTGACAGTTGTTTTGAGTTCCAAATGTTCTCCAGTTGTAGAGGGTGAGAGAAAGCAACCTTACCTAACAACCGGTCTTCACCTCGAACGAGTCTCTCTTCCATCTTCTATGAACGATTTTTCAGTTTAACCCATCATAAAAATTTCGTATAACGTTGACTATCTTCTTAGACATGCCGTAGTGGCGAAGAAGCTTCCATAGCGTTGTCCAGTCCATACTTTCAAATGCTTTCTCGTAATCAATGAATTTGATGTACAATGACAAATTCCATTCAATGGGTTGTTCCACAATGATCTGTAGTGCTGAGATTTGGATCGATCCTTACGGAATCTAGCCTGTTGATCTCGAAGTTGGGCGTCTACAGAGTATTATCAAACTAAGCATTCACTTGTTATGACTTTTACCTATGTCAATTATCACTTAACAAAATCAGAATATTGACTTGTATAACCTCGTTCTTGTATTAAACCAATGACATGTCAACCAACACAAGAAGTCCTGTTTCAACTCTTAATCCTTATTAATCCTTCCTGACTGGCCCTGCCTGTTGAGTTCAGAATGTCTCCGTTATATGAATCATGTATTGCAGATGTAAGCACTTTATATACAAGCAAATTAGACCGCATCATACTATCAAATGAAAGATAATAATTATACAAGATCAAGCCCAAAATGTCTTTGAGTATAGGAAACTGTAACCAATAGATTTGAAATAATTTAAGAATAATAAATTGTGTAATGTTAGCCTCTACGTCGAATGGGGGCTTATAATAAAAGGAATAGTAATCCATAAATAATCCATAGCAGTGACTATTCATTTATTCTTCGTCCGAATGTAACACTGCCTAGATGAATCCTTGATCTAATGGCGAATAAAAAAATGTCTCCTGTTTACTATCAAATATGACAATTATACGATAACTGTTGTAATATGTGGTGTCCGAAATCTGGTACTGATGCTTGGTATACAATGCTCTAACTCCTCAACTGACTACTTGAGCGAAAACACAAGAGTAATCGAGATAGTGTTGTAGTGTGGCGTCGAGTCGCAGTTGACTATGATCACCACTACAAGAAGGTTGAGTACTAAATATCAGAAGGCAATTGAAGGTTGTAGCTAAGTATATTTGTTGGTAATCTCGTGGTATCGAAAGAATACCGAGATCGTACCAAAGGAGTATATGCGGATT